CGTAGCCTGGTGGATAGCGCGCAGGACTCGTAATTCTGTGGCGCGGGTTCGATTCCCGCACGAGGCAGAAACAAATGGGCAAAGTATCTTTCACCCTGAGTGCCCCTGTTACCTAGCAGTAAATAGGTACCTGGGAGTTAGTCAGCTGTCACGGGCTGCTTCCTGGTGTGTGTGTGTGTGTTGGGAAAAAAAAACAAAAAAAAGTAGTTAGTAAACAGTTGATTGACAGTTGAGAGGCGGGCCGAAAGAGCAAAGCTCAACCCCCGCAAACACAACTAGGTAAATACACACACACACACACACATACATGGAGAGTGAGAGAGCCTGAGGGCTAACCAGAGAGAACATCGCTCTCTCCCCTCGCTCCTTCGCTCTCGTTCTGGTTCTTCCTTACTATCTCTCCTCTGTTTATCCTCCTCTTATTATTATCCTCCTGTTATTCTTATCCTCCTCTGATAAGAGTCAGAGCGAGGGAGGGAGAACGAGAGCAAGTGAGGCAAAAGGGAGAGGGAGAAACTAGTGAGGGAGGGGGAGACAGAAAGATAGAGATATTACAGTCACAGCCTTCGTATGAGTTATCATACGAAGGTATGGTAACAACTCCAACGGAGGTCGCCTGAGGCGAAGCCTCTGTCCTAGTTCGCCTCTGTCCCTCTGTCCTAGTTCGCCTGAAATCTATGTTAGCCTGAGGGCTAACATAGATTTAGGTTAGGATCTACAACTGGAAACTTCATTGACAACTCACATAGAGGAAGTTAATAAAGAACTAGAAAAGTATAAAGAAGAAATAAAAGAGACGTATGCCCAAGTTGTAAAAGAGACGATTAAGGAAGTGTGTTTGGAAGTTCAAACCATAAATGATAAACAAGAAGCGGATATTAGGCAAGCAATTAGGAAAGAACTGGTTACCAACAGTAAACTGGTACAAAACACTGTAGACAGAAGTAAGTCCATAATAATTTTTGGATGTTTAGAGAAGGAAATTTCATCTAGGGTGGACAGAGCAGCAGCAGAGATGAAAAATCATAGAAAAATTTGTAGGATTAAGAGAAGGCCTAAATTCAAAGGAGCATGTCGGTGATTATAGGAGGATAGGAAAATATGAGAAAGACAAGAACCGCCCCTTAAGGGTGACGTTTAATGGAGTAAAGTATATGACAGAAGTGCTTCGGAACACCAGAAAATTGCAATGTGACGCGGATGGCAAACTTTGGTCAGTAAGACAAAACCTCTTAAAAGAAGACAGAGAAAAGCTAAAAATGAACCTCATTGAAGCGAAACGTCTAAATGGGGATAGAAATGAAGAAGAAAGGAATTCTTTTTACTACAAAGTGTTAAGAAATGGAAAGCTTGTGAAACCGTACATAAAGCAACGCAACAAAATCATTAAAGGTGTAAAGAACAAAGGGAAGGGGAACATATTCCTGAAAGTAGTATATACCAACATAGATGGAGTGAGATCGAAAATATTGGAGTTGAAGGATATAATTCAACTCAAAGTCCCAGATATTGTCGCACTAACAAAGACGAAACTTGAAGAAAATATTTTAAAAGCAGAAATGGACAATCGAGTAACAACACAAAGATGGTGCCAGAACCGTGAGGTCAGCACTTAAGGGCAAGCTGAGGCGGCTATAATGTCACTTGAAGAAAGTAGACTCAGAAGGAACATGACCCAGACATATAAGATACTTAGATGTATCAATATATTAGCAGGAGGCAGACTGTTTAACACACGAACATCAATCACAGGAAGGAAGTTGAATGAACTAGTTGAGATCCTAGGTCTCTCCCCCACATACACCCTCCCTTTATGTTCCAACATGCAAACTTCCCTTCCCCCTTCCCCTCTACCCCCTCCCCCCACCCCCACTCTCCCCTCCCGCTCCACACCTTCCCCCATCACGGCTCATCATGTAACCATTCTCACAGCACACACACTGCTTCATCACTATAAACGACCCCGACCCCCTGTGATATTCTCCATAACATCACCATGCAAAGCTGCGTGAGGCTACCCCGAAGCGTCCGGCTTCCAACCTACGAGAGATAAATAGTCTCCTTCATAGATGGATGGGGCAGCCGGCGGAGCCTGGATCTGTTTCTCTCTCCGTCCCAACCCATTCTCCCTCGATTTTCCCCTCTCATTCTTCTTCTCTTCCTCTTTTCCTCCCATTCTCACATTCTCCCTCTGTCCTGGTCTCTATCTCCTTTTATCTCTCCCATTCACCCTCCCAGTGGACAAACACACACTCGAGTAATGTTGAATCTACGTTATCGACGATGATTCTGTGTCCATAACAACTGTAAAAAATCTGTTGGTAAGTACTCTATGGACAATCAATCCCAAATTATAGATAATAGGAATTGTTAGTGTCGCAATTAGAGCAAATCCTACTTAAGGAGGGGCATGGGATCGGCCCTACCCACCCTACGAGTCTCTTCATGCAATCAAAGTTCACCGTGGAAAGTTGCTTGAGTCTAACCGTAACTGTCTGGCCTCCAAACAAACATACAGACAGATATTATATTTTCTAGATTTATATATATATATATATTAAACAAGTTTAGTATTTATTAACTTAAAGCCTTGGGATTTACAGATCACTTTCTGTTGATGAAATTGTCAATTGTCCGCCGTAACAGTTGAGAATGTGTCCGCTGCAACAATATGAAATGAGCCTTGAAGAGTGGAGGCGGGAGGCTGCCCCCAACCGGGTCATCTTACTATTGTCACCTCAAATGTGCTCCATTGTTTAGGTCTCAGTGACCACAGAATCCTCAAGCATCTTATCGCGGCACCCTTGTTTATATGTATATATATATAATGCCTTAGCAATGTTATGCTAATGCATCACGCTGAGAGCTTACATTAGTTCTGGACTATGTTCAAGACTAACGTGTACTTGCTGATTGTTATGTAAGCTGTTGTGGTGGCCTTAGTAACCTTCCGTGGTTGACTAAACCCAACACCGACGACAAATAATTTACAAGCAAATCAGTAGAAGCTTGTTTTCTATAAACACTATAAACATTATAAGCAAAACAGTATTGACCTTCGAAACAAAAAACTGTAAAACTACTGGTAAAATAACTACTACTTCTACTACAGAATTATTATTGCTATTATCAAAATAAATGTTAACAAATTATTAAAGCATCAGGGAAAAGTAAAAACCGTTATATGAGTATAAAATTATCCGGAGAATATTTACCTATTTCTAACTGTTCATAAAGAATACAATTGCATGATTGTGAAATGCTTTGTTTCAACGTTAGGCTATTGTGCAATGAAACTATTATGATGTGTCCAGAAAGATTCATTTGCCATAAATGGGTTATGCGGCGATCGTATACAAAAAATAGGAAATCATTGAACATCACTTACAAAACTAGGAGTCATTAGACTTTCTTGCGTGTTGAAAGCCTCGTGACCGACACTTTGCATTTGTTCATGCCAGCATCAATACACTGGCGATGATTTTGAACTGTCTCATTGTTGCTTGTGAAGCCATAATCATGAGTTACACTACAGTGAGCAATATGCAGCTGTGACGAGAGCGATGGTGGATCATGAAGCGTGATGAGAAGTTTGACCTCCAGGACGCGCCAGTGTTAGTGTGGAAGACCTTTACACTCTCTACCCCTGATGTAGCCTGGTACTCTGGTAACCTTGGGCCAGATTCACGAAGCACTTACGCAAGTACTTACGAACGTGTACATCTTTCCTCAATCTTTGACGGCTTTGGTTACATTTATTAAACAGTTTACAAGCATGAAAACTTCCCAATCAACTGTTGTTATTGTTATAAACAGCCTCCTGGTGCTTCGGAGCTCATCAATTGTTTAATTATTGTAAACAAAGCCGCCAACGATTGCGAAAAGATGTACAGGTTCATAAGTGCTTGCGTAACTACTTCGTGAACCTGGCCCCTGGTTCTGTTGTGACCTTGTTGTACTGTGGTGACGTAGTATTGTGGTGACCTGGTACGGTGGTGACATGGTACTGTAGTGACCTGGTACTAATGTGTCCAGGTACTGTAGTGACCTGGTACTAAGGTGACAAGGTATTGTAGTGATCTGGTACTAAGGTGACCAGGTACTGTAGTGACCTGGTACTAAGGTGACCAGGTATTGTAGTGATCTGGTACTAAGGTGACCAGGTACTGTAGTGACCTGGTACTAAGGTGACCAGGTATTGTAGTGATCTGGTACTAAGGTGACCAGGTACTGTAGTGACCTGGTACTAAGGTGACCAAGTACTGTAGTGACCTGGTATCGTAGTGATCTGGTACTATGGTGATCTGGTATTGTTGTGACCTGGAACTCAGGTGATCTGGTACTGTCGTCACCTGATACTATGGTGGCCTGGTACCATTTCCTAAATTATGAATTTAGTAATCTTAATTTTTATGGCAAGTTTTACGAAAATTAACAAACCACTATACATTTATTATATACTTTTGTGTTAGTTCATTATTAAGCACCAAATACCCATTTCGTGGGCGGTGATAATAGAGACACAGCGGCACATAATGGGCTCAGGAGCTGGGTCCCAATATTCTTTATGACAACCAGCTACCGGAATTATTATTATCCCTGGAATATTACAACTCTATAACTGGGATGATGCAAAAGCCTCAAATAACGACACGGGACTCAGAACGCTTCAAGCTTTCTCAGCTACTGACCGAAATATCAATAGATCAGAAAAGTTATAATCAATAAGACTTCAAAAGAAGGCTACCAATTTTTTGATATGATAACATCTACAAAGACATTATTTTTGTGCAATTTCAAAGATATATCGCAGATAACTGCATAACTGGTGCCACCGGCTTGTCTAAGAGGAACAAAATCACCAAGTCATGGGCGACCTTGGGTGAGTGTGGCGGGGGGATGGTGAGGCTGGTGACTCGGGGTCCGGCTGGAGGTATAAAGCCAGGCTGGAGACCAGGGAGAAGTCAGTGTCTGCTCACCACCCCATCACCACACTACCAAACATGTTCACTTCTGTATGTATTATTCACTGTTAATGCAGAATTGCATTTTTGTTAACTCAAAAATATATTGCAAATGTTTAATATGAAATATTGAATCTTCAAGTACACTAAAAGCGCTTCCATTACGTCTCTAGAACAAATAATGCAGAGAGCTGCATAAAACACTAAGAATAAAATACAATATTCAAAATCTGTTTATTACAGCTTTTCGGATAGGAAAATAAAGTGATTTGATATCATATTCGTCTGTCATTCATAGCAATCGACAAGCACTATAATATAACATTTAATTTGCCAAATTCATTTATTTTACACCAGGCTACCTCAGTTATATTAACATGTACCACATTCAACAATATCTTTCTCATTTATATTCAGTCACTCGAGAGATCACTTAACTGCAAAACAACACCTGTAATAAATACATATGTTAAAATCAGAGGTCATGCAGGATATAGCGGGTTATAGACCATAATGTTTACGGAGGCTATTAATGTGCAAATATAGGTATAGCGGTCACCGAGGAAATGCCGAAAAAAATCTCAGTTCCTGACATATTGTTGGGTAATATTCTGTAAGCATAAAAATTCTCAACTCTTAACCAACCGAACCAACCTTCCAAAAGGTACCCTCACGTCTTTTAATATAACATATTAGTTACATTGTAATGATTGTGTGGAATTTGTTTTGCCTTTTCAGGTCAATGAGAAAGAATCTGGTGAAAGACAGCAATATAGAAATGTCTGTTGCTTACAAGAAAGCCATCAAATTGGCAAGGCCCCCGTTTGTCATAACTGTTCACTGACAGTCGACATAGTTAAAGAAATTACACAGGAATACAATGAAACAATACACAACCAACACCAGTTAATGTCTTTTGTTCCCACAGGTGGTGTTAATGTGCATGCTGGTGGCCGCTGGTGTGGCTCTCCCAGGTGGATACCAGCAACAATCCTACGTATGTCATCACATATCTTACGATTGTGTAAATATAATTCACAAACGACTATACGAGAGAATGTTAATTATATAAATAATACATAATAAAATTCTGTATGAAAAATAACAACAATAATGTCACCTTGATGATGTGTCCACAGGCGCCTCTGCCCTACGATTTCAACTACGGGATCAACTCTGGAGCCACCAACTTCGGCCAGCAAGAGAGCGGCAACAATGGCAACGCCAAGGGCTCCTACTGGGTCAACTTACCTGACGGTCGCGTCCAGAGGGTTGATTACTGGGCCGACGGTAGCGGATATCATGCCACCGTGAGCTTCCAGGGCACCGCCAAACATCCCAGCTATGCTCCTTCTTATGGCTATTAACGACTGCCCTGCAACACGACAATTGATAACCTCTATCTTGCATCTGCTTTGTTTCACTTGTTAAACAGATATGTTTATGAGTTTTTATTAGTTGGCAACTACTGTTAATATAATTTTTCAATATCATATTCATTGCATCTTGTATAATTTTATATTTTATTATGATGTGTTAAATATTACAGAAGAGAAGAAAACTCAATGATTTCTCAACAGACTAAAGAAATGTTAATGGAGAATCAATAAATAATAAGAAAACATATATTTGCAATCCCTGTTTACATCCTCTGATATCCTAATGCAGCGTGAGAGGCGTCAGACGTGGTCGGTGAACCAGGAAGTTCCTATGACAGGGGTAAACAAACAAGCAATCTCGACGGTAGTCAAAGTGTTGACAAAAATCCATTTAATTTGGCATAATGCATTCCTCTCCTTTCCAGAACTTTTATCAACATTTATTGATAAAATGAGAGAATGGTAATTGAAATATGTCAAATAATTATTCCAGTACAGTTGTCGTTTATCATTATTTAACTGAAGTGGCCGTTGTTGCTCGAGTGATGAACAGGAAGCACTTTCCACTTCACACCATATTCGTCAATTTTAAAAAGACATTTTCTTCAACACTTCGACTTTAAAAAGCACATTTCTCATACACCAACTTTGTGAACCTGGTGCAGAAACCGGTTCCCCATCAAAGGGAAGGGGACAAAGGGGCCGATGCTGACCACCTTCTGAGAATTCCCGAATTCACCGATCGTCGAGCAAAGTTGCGTGAGGCTAGCCCCAACCGCCTGGCTTCTTACCATGGACGGGCAGACATACTCTTCTACAAATAGATGGACTACCAGGCAGTGCCCGGGGTTTATGTTTATCTATCTGGCTCTGTAAGTTTTTCTCCCTCTTCCTCCCATTTTTCCCCCACCATTCGCAATCATTCTGTTTCATTCCCCCATTTTCCCTCCCTTACATTATCTCTTTCTCCACTATGGATACAATAGCAACACTGAAGGAGAAAGCCACGTGTAGATGGATGCCTTTGCTGTGGGAAACTAAATCGCCAATTCTCTCCCAAAGACCTAAGAGAAAAACCACAAACAAAATAATCACTCAGGAGTTAGCTACAACTAATTCAAGAAACTGGCAGTGTGCTACATAAAAAAGGAGCTGGTAGGCGTAATGTGTCTCACGACGGAGCAGCAGAAATTCAGGATGCGCTCAGTCGAAGTTCTGAACAATCCATCCATCTAGGAAGCCGGAAACTGCAAATTCCGCGTTCAGCAGCACATGAAGTGTTCACAAGAGGCTGAAACGTCGCGAAAGACATTATTCCTAATGTCTGCAACGAAATCATCTATCGCCGTGATGTTCAGCGTGCTACTAGCGGAGTCACGTAGATGTTTACTGATGCACTGTACTATTAATTGTAGACTAATTAATAATACAAAAGTGCCTTTTGATATCACTATAACCATGTTATTAGTTACCACAAACCGTTTTAAGAAGCTCCTATGTTAGTTAATTTATTAAGGCTTATAATGGGGACTAATTTGTGAAGAACATTTTGACGAAGACTACAGGCGGCTTAAAGTTGGTATCGTGTTACCTATAGTTAGTAATCGTTCATTGGACTCATCATGAGTAAGAATATCACTCGTCTAGTGAGCTCCGGGGTCTAAACTGTAGTAGATATAACATATTTAATGAGTGAGTTATTACAGAATCATATTATATGGCGATGTGTTTGAAAAGTTTTTTATGCTCTATTAAAGAGATAAGACAATCAGTATTTTGATGAACTAACCTAATTGTATTTATGCCAGAATTTAATGTATGTAACAAATCATTGAAGATATTGCTAGTCCCCGAACTGAGAGGCATGAACTACGAGGAAAGGTTAAGGGAGCTGAACCTAACCTCCCTAGAAAACAGAGGAGTAAAGGGAGACATGATAACCACCATCAAAATTTTCAGAGGAGTTGACAGGGTGGACAAAGACAAACTCTTTAGCACGGGTGGAACACGAACAAGGGAAAACAGGTGGAAACTTAGTACCCAAATGAGCCACAGAGGCATTAGAAAGAATTTTTTCAGTGTCAGAGAGGTTAACAAATGGAATGAATTAAGCAGATCTGTGGTGGATGCAGACTCCATACACAATTTCATATGTAGATTTGATAGAGCCCAGGTGGCTCAAGAATCTGTTCAAACTTACCACAATGCCGATGTGCTTGATCGAAGGGGAAGGAAAGACCGAAAATATATATGAAAGTGTATTAAAAACTAAATTTTTAGATGTAATCTAAATCCTTTCTCAAGGTGCTGTACCACCTGTACCATGTACATGGTACAGCACCTTGACACATTTATTGTGGTATTGTGGCACATTTACATGTACCACAATACTTTGAGAAAGAAAGATTAAGATTACATCCGAAAACGTGGTGGTATAAAACACACATACATTAGGTTTTTCATCACCCTCAAATAGTTTTTAGCACTTAAATTTTAGACTCCGTAGCTGGAGATAATGATAACATCCTACAAAGACCAAGGACTCAACGGTTAATAAGCTTTACCAAACACAATTGTCCTCGTCAATGACAATCAAAAACTTTATTCACATAATTATTTCATATAGCAGTAATATCAACTGAACTGGAAAACTATATACAATATGTTTAGAAGACGAGCATATATTTTAAATAAATAACATTTTCAGAATTATATCTTTATTGTATGTTGCGCCCAATATATGTCACCGATAACTACACGAATGACACTATCTGGTTAATCGCAGGAAAACGAAAGATCACCAAGTCATGGGCGACCTTGGGTGAGTGTAGTGGCAGGGGGATGGTGAGGCTGGTGACTCGGGGTCGGCTGGAGGTATAAAGCCAGGCTGGAGACCAGGGATGAGTCAGTGTCTGCTCAGAACCCCATCACCATACTACCAAACATGTTCACTTCTGTATGTATTATTCACTGTTATTGCAGAATTAAATTTTTGTTAACTCAAAAATATATTGCAAATGTTTAATATTAAATATTATATCATCAAGTACACTAAAAGCGCTTCCATTACGACTCTAGAACAAATGCATTACGAATGTAGACAGCTGTATAAAACATGAAGAATAAAATGTAATATTCAAAATCTGTTTATTACAGCTTTTCGGGTAGGAAAATGAAGTGATGTGATATCATATGTCTGTCATTCATCACAATGAACAAGCACTATACTATAATATTTAATTTGCTAAATTCATGTATTTTACACCTGGCTACCTCAGTTATATTAACATGTACCACATTCAACAATATCTTTCTCATTTATATTAAGTCACTCGACAGATCACTTAACTGCAAAACAACACCTGTAATAAATACATGTTATAACGGTTAAAATCAGAGGTCGTGCAGGATATAGCGAGTTATAGACCATAATGTGTACGGAGGCTATTAATGTGCAAATATAGGAATATGCCGAAAAAATCTCAGTTCCTGACATATGGTTGGGTAATATTCTGTAAGCACAAAAATTCTCAACTCTTAATCAACCTAACCAACCTTCCAAAGGGAACCCTCACGTCTTTTAATATAATATATTAGTTACATTGTAATGATTGTGTGGCATTTGTTTTGCCTTTTCAGGTCAAGAGAAAGAATCTGGTGAAAGACAGCAATCTAGAAATGTCTGTTGATTACAAGAAAGCCATCAAATTGGCAAGGTCCCCGTTTGTCATAACTGTTCACTGACAGTCGACATAGTTAAAGAAATTACACAGGAATACAATGAAACAATACACAACCAACACCAGTTAATGTCTTGTGTTCCCACAGGTGGTGTTAATGTGCATGCTGGTGGCCGCTGGTGTGGCTCTCCCAGGTGGATACCAGCAACAATCCTACGTATGTCATCACATGTTTCACAATTGTGTAAATATAATTCACAAACTACTATACAAGAGAATGTTAATTACATAAATTATACATAATAAAATTCTGTATGAAAAATAACAACAATGATGTTACTTTGATGATGTGTCCACAGGCACCTCTGCCCTACGATTTCAACTACGGGATCAACTCTGGAGCCACCAACTTCGGCCAGCAAGAGAGCGGCAACAATGGCAACGCCAAGGGCTCCTACTGGGTCAACTTACCTGACGGTCGCGTCCAGAGGGTTGATTACTGGGCCGACGGTAGCGGATATCATGCTACCGTGAGCTTCCAGGGCACCGCCAAACATCCCAGCTATGCTCCTACTTATGGCTATTAACGACTGACCAGTAACACAACAATTGATAACCTCTATCTTGCATCTGCTTAGTTCACTTGTTAAACAGATGTGTTTATGAGTTTTATTAGTTGGCAACTACTGTTAATATAATTTTTCAATATCATATTCATTGCATCTTGTATAATTTTATATTTTATTATGATGTGTTAAATATTACAGAAGAGAAGAAAACTCAATGATTTCTCAACAGACTAAAGAAATGTTAATGGAGAATCAATAAATAATAAGAAAACATATATTTGCAATCCCTGTTTACATCCTCTGATATCCTAATGCAGCGTGAGAGGCGTCAGACGTGGTCGGTGAACCAGGAAATTCCTATGACAGGGGTAAACAAACAACAAATCTGGACGGTAGTCAGTGTTGACAAAAATCCATTTAATTTGGCACAATGTATTCCTCTCCTTTCCAGAACTTTTATCAACATTTACTGATAAAAAGAGAAAATGGTAAGTAAAATATGTTAAATAATTATTCCAGTACAGTTGTCGTTTATTATTATTTAGCTTAAGTGGCCGTTGTTGCTCGAGTGATGAACAGGAAGCACTTTCCACTTCACCATATTCGTCAATTTTAAAAACACTTTTTCTTCAACACTTCAACCTTTAAAAACATTTCTCATACACCAACTTCGTGAACCTAGTGCAGAAACTGGTTCCCAATCAAAGGAAAGGGGGCAAAGGGGCCGATGCAGACCACCTTTTGAGACTTTTCCCGAATTCACCGATCATCGTGAAAAATTTCGTGAGGCTAGCCCCAAGCGTCTGGCTTCTTACCATGGACAGGCA